TACTCTCAGCAAGTTTGCAGATGACACTAAACTGGGAGGAGTGGTAGATACGCTGGAGGGTAGGAATAGGATACAGAGGGACCTAGACAAATTAGAGGATTGGGCCAAAAGAAACCTGATGAGGTTCAACAAGGACAAGTGCAAAGTCCTGCACTTAGGATGGAAGAATCCCATTCACTGTTACAGACTAGGGACTGAGTGGCTAGGAAGCAGTTCTGCAGAAAAGGACCTAGGGGTTACAGTGGATGAGAAGCTGGATATGAGTCAACAGTGTGCCCTTGTTGCCAAGAAGGCTAACGGCATTCTGGGCTGTATAAGTAGGGGCATTGCCAGCAGATCGAGGGACGTGATCATTCCCCTGTATTCGACATTGGTGAGGCCTCATCTGGAGTAGTGTGTCCAGTTTTGGGCCCCACACTACAAGAAGGATGTGGAAAAATTGGAAAGAGTCCAATGGAGGGCAACAAAAATGATTAGGGGGCTGGAGCACATGACTTATGAGGAGAGGCTGAGGGAACTGGGATTGTTTAGTCTGCAGAAGAGAAGAATGAGGGGGAATTTGATAGATGCTTTCAACTACCTGAAAGGGGGTTCTAAAGAGGATGGATCTAGACTGTTCTCAGTGCTACCTGATGACAGAACAAGGAGTAATGGTCTCAAGTTGCAGCGGGGGAGGTTTAGGTTGGATATTAGGAAAACCTTTTTCACTAGGAGGGTGGTGAAGCACTGGAATGAGTTACCTAGGGAGGTGGTGGAATCTCTTTCCTTAGAGGTTTTTAAGGTCAGGCTTGACAAAGCCCTGACTGGGATGATTTAGTTGGGAATTGGTCCTGCTTTGAGCAGGGGGTTGGACTAGATAACCTCCTGAGGTCCCTTCCAACCCTGATATTCTATGATTCTAAGCAGCATAAAATCTATTACTCACATAAAAAGATTAAAGCTACCACTGTGGCTGCATCTCTACTGGTGAAATTCCCAGCAGGAATCAATGTAAATTTTCTTTGCATAGACATAGCATGTTAACTTTGTCTTACTGAGGGAATGGATTTGCTCACAAGATTAGTAAAGAGAAATTACATCTCTCACTTATAAGTTATTTGTTCAAATTTGACCCAGTAAATAATTATTGCTATCTGATAGTTGGCTAAAGGCACGTATGAAGTGAGCTGGTTGTTTTAGGCTCTATTTACATTAGAGGAGCTGGTGTTGAAGATGGTTTTACTGCTAGCATAAAATGGATTTGTCCCTTCTACCACTGCCATAAGACAAAACATGCTTCGGGGATATTCAACAAGGTCTCAACTATACTTTATGTAATAGTGATGACTATCATCTTGCACTATCTACATTACAAGCTAAACTACTGTCAACACCAGCTGGAATCCCTGGTAAAAATATGATGAGTGATGCCAAAGAATGAACACAAATGCCCAATTCCTAGGGGTGATCACTTCAGAACACAACTGAGGCACAGTGGAAAGTAGTTTGGAAAAGCTTGCACTGCTGCTGCCTGTCCATGCTTTTTCAACAAAAAAGCTCAATTTCCAGTGGTGCCATTGTGGCACTTTTCACAAATATTAGCATTTACTTAAAAAAAAAAAAAAATCAAATCCTATTATCCAGGCACTGCAATTCATATGGTCCTCTGCTACAAGGACTCAGCACTGGGTGACTGCCTATCTTGGGTCGCTCTTTACTAATAGATCACGTTTTACACTGAAGCCACAAAATGGTCTATGACTAGAGCTTCTAGGTGCTACTGCAACAAAAATAATGGAAAACAAATCACCTCTTACTGTCTTAGGCCCTGATCCTGCGGTGAGATGCATGCACATGGACTTCTGTGCCTATGCAAAGCTTTGCTGATTTCAAGAGGACAATGCAGGGGTGTAAGAGTCCACCCATATAGATCAGTTTTCAGGTTAATTCTGGTTAACTGGTGATCTCTAAGGGTTGTCTCTGGGAATCAAGTTTTCAGCTGCTTTGCAATGCAGTTCTGTGACATCTTGTCAAATATGAACTCAATCTCGCAATTTGGAATAAAACTTACCACCTCACTTCTCTCGGTGCAGCAGGATCCAATTCCAGCGTTTCCCCCAGTACTGTATGTTTTCACTAAGACCATCAACACAACACCATTATAGGGGAGTCCGGCAACTATGCAATTAAACTGTAAGTCTTATGTGAGCAGTGTGTATCACATACTGATTTTAATTAGATTTTGTATCTAGAAGTGACTTGATTTACTCAACAACTGAAATTTATAAATAAGTACTGTAGTAAAAGCTGCACATATTAAGACCTTGATACCCCCCCAGAGTCAGTTAAAAAAAAAAAAAAAATCTAGGCCCTGATCTTGTATTCCCCACCCCCCAATCTACATACTTATCCCACATTGGTGAAATGGTGTTCTCAGTTAAGGTATTTTCTAACAGAGAGCTATATCCTTTGAGAAGGCTAGACAACACATTTTTTATAATCTTATGATTATACTCAAGATCTATATCCCAATTAATAAAATGAGGAATAGGTATATCGGGATTAAAATAAATGAAAAGTAAATTACATCACAAGCTGCTTAGAATTAATTCACGGAGCAAAGCTTGGTTCATCCTTCATACAACTATACTCTAAATGTTCAGATACTGGAGAATTTTACCCTGGGAAGGAAGACTGAGGAAGCAAGAGAGAACAGGGTAGCCAAACAGAACTGGAAAAATTTTCTCTACAGCTTAAGTAATAGAGCTGAACTATAGAGCTTTGGTCTGCACACCTCCGTTCAGTTTAAGTGGAGTTTACTACTCACACTCCTTAGCTATTTTTCCAAATGTAAATATTTTCTTTCCTGGATATATAGTCAAAGGCACACACTCAGTCTCTGATTTTTTTAAATTAGGTCTTGCCTCTTTTTTCAGATACAGCCTGGCAAAAATGAAAAGGATTTTATCCCTTTCATGCCAGAATTATTTGCTGTGACACCCATATCTATGTTGCATGAAGTGTTGTGCTGGTCCCAGATATTAGAAAGACAACGGGGGTGAGGTAATATCTTATTGGACCAACTTCTGTTAATGAGGCAAACTTTTGAGCTTAGGCAGACCTGCATAAGAGCTCTGTGTAAGCTTGAACGCTTGTCTCTCTCACCAACAAAAGTTGGTCCAATAAAAGATATTACCTCACCCACCTTGTCTCACTCATACCTATAGCATTTAGCTCTTCTTTCCATTAACTTACACTGATTACAGTTGACTGATTGATTGTATGAAATTCATACTCTGATGTAATAGAATTTTATAAAGTTGACCTAAATAATTCAAGTCTCGTTGGTTCTAGGTTTGTCGAACATCTACCCTTCCTGTATTGTTACACAAGACAATTGCTAATTATACCATCAACAAATATAAAAAGCCTAATGCAATTTTCTCTTCAGATTTATTATTCCAGAGGCACTTACATGTCTTACATTTATATAGCGCCTTTCTTCTCACAGCGCTTTAAAAACTACAGTATGTACATATACAGGAATATCTCCCAACACCTAGGAAATGCAACCATCTCTGACTACCACTAGTGCTATTTTGAAATATCACCAGCTTGAGACTCCGTCGTTGAGGATATGGAGATGCTTTTATCAATACTTTCATTCTCACTATGACTGATTATTTTCAAACTTCCAGCTTGAGCAATCAAAAAAAAAAAAAAAAGACTACAACCAATATATACCACAGCTCATTTTATAACTGAACTAAGATTCAATCATTTTCACCGGATTAAAAATCTCTTCATTGACAATAAAAGTTTATACTTTAAGGTGTTTTTATGTAATCTTTTAAAGAACAGTGGTCTAGAATATCCTTCCAAATTGTTTTTACTATATGTTCCTCGTTGCTCACCAGGTTATTCTTTAATATATCCACAATATAAACTAGAGCTTTTAGGAATTAAATGAGGAGATGACCCTTGATTCTCAAACTGACTTCAGTACACAACAGAAGCAGGCCCATTTCTCCTTGTTTATGAAGCTGGATCTGTTTTCGTTTTAAGGCAAAATTGAAAAAGTTTATGCTCAGTCATGTTACTAATCAATGTTGAATTGTAAAGCACCCTTGGACTTGCTGCAGAGGAGGATATATAAATGCACTTTGAGTGGTTTCTGCTTGTTAGTGTCAAAACTACATGAATACATTAAAAAAAAATATCCCAAATCCACTACTTTACATTACCACAAACTTCTCTCTAGCCAAAAGAATAAAAACAGATATTTGAATTTGGAGAAATATTCTTTGCTTTGTCTCTCTAAAAAGCTACTAAAACATTTCTTTAAAAAATTGCAATTGGGTGACAACTTTCACAAAACAGCCATTATGGTAAACCCTGAAAATATAGTATCAGAGGGGTAGCCGTGTTAGTCTGGATCTGTAAAAAGCAACAGAGTCCTGTGGCACCTTTAAGACTAACAGATGTATTGGAGCATAAGCTTTTGTGGGTGAATACCCACTTCGTCAGACGCATGAAAACACTAAAATCTCACATATAGCAGCACCACTTGCTTCACTATAAATTAGTCTGATATCAGTGTTTAAGAATTTGAATTAAAAACTGGTAAAAAAGCTAACTGCCATCTTGCTGAATGAAACAGTTTATTTCAGTGTCAGGTGATCCATGGATGCAATTAAGCTGCAAACACATGCCTTTTGGAGTTCCACTGATGCTATTTAACATGTTGAATTTATTGCCTATGTCAGTGGGTACCTGTACTAAGACATGAGGTCACTGGCATTTGTTCTTCTAGGTAAGAGTATTTTAATTGTGAGTGGTATGGGCAAGAAGTGTAATAACCTCAAGTTTTCAAGTTTCAAGATAAAAGGGGAAAATAATAAGTAACAATCTTAATACGAAAGATGGTATTCAGTATTCACAGAGCTGAATTAGTCACTAAGAGGAAGATATACACCCAAGTGTATATTGATTATAAAAAAAGAAAACCTTGATAAAAGATGTACAGAGATCACATTTATTGTGTATTTAGTGCATGTCTTCATGTAGTGCATTCCTATGTTACATCATGTGTGCAACACTACAAAGCCACCAGAAGAACATCAGTGTATGGCAGGGATTTTTAAATGTTTTCATAGTGTACACAGTCTCATGGACCACCAGCCTCCCATTCCTGATCACACAAACCATCTCTTTTTGCATTTGTGATCACTTAAAATCATGTGGCAACTACAGTAATTGTTTACATGGAAAAGTAATATTAGGAAAGTATTTAATGTATTTTTAGCTGTCTTTTAATGAGATTTGGCAGTTGTAATAAAAGAACCAGCACTCCATGGCCCACTGTTTGAGGACCATTGTCGTATGATTTACTAATTTACATTAAAATTGCCTAAAAACCCTCAGGATGTGGAGTCAAATTTTGATGAATTTTGAGATGTGGCATCCCAGACATCACATAAAAAAAAGTGGATAGCAAAACAGAGGCTACCATCATCATCACTCCCTCTTAAAACCCAAACCTATACAGCAGCTGGACAGGGTACATCCTATTTTAACAAGAGGGACAAAGGAGGACTCTGATGGAAGACCACCACCACACATCCCAAGAATGGGAGCAAAGAGGACAATTGGAAGTCTGCTACTGAGCAACAAAATGTTGCTTTCAAGGAGGCATGCTAAGTGTTTTAGAAGGATACACTTTGGGCCCAATTCTTGATCCCATTAATGTCAGTGGCAAAGCTCCTATGACTTCAATAGGCAGATAGGTCCTTTAATAATTCTCCCTCCTCCACCATTGCTGTGGGAACTAAAATCATACTTCTCAACTTCCCAGGGCTGTCATGTGTGTCTACGCAACTCCAAATGAAAAATATTCAGGGACCCTGACCCCTGAAATACAGAATACCATTTTCACTACTATTATTTTTTCTTTCAGTTCCCTTCCATCTCAATTTCTTCCCAAATCTCCCCATTTGGTTCCACTCCCTTTTCTGGGGGAGGAGGAGAAAACAGTTCAGCATTGCTTTTGTTGAATGGGGGAAGAATGGGAGACAGTGAGAAGCACAGGAGAACTGTGGACAGACAGGCTGAAAAGGCCTATGGATCCACAGTGGATCAGGTCTAATCTCTTTAATAGCAGAGGGAATTAGGCTCCTGCCATCTTGGATTCAGTCCATCCTGCACCATAAATGGTGCACATACAACACCTATCACAAAGCTTGGCCTCTACCCAGGTCTGGCACTGTACAGGATAGTAGGTTATAGCTATGAAAAGGGGAGGATATCCTGCATCATGTGAGATAATTCAGAAGTATGCATAGACTAGATAGTGAAAATCCAGAATTGTTGCCAGAAACAGGAGAGGTAATAACCCTAATTTTAACAGAGTTCTTCACTGAAGGAAAGAAAGGTCCATAAAAGTCAAATCAGCTGACTTCAAATAGTTTACATCCCAGATGAATCAGGTTATATTGATTTAAGCCCAATTTAATTTAGGCAGGTTTTTAACCACAAGAATAAGGACATTCTTAGTACATATTAATAATTAAACCAACATATACACAATTAGCAATATCCTACATAATAATAAATGCTTAATAGCTTGCTTTGGATTATCCTATACCTAGTTAATTTGTTTAAAAACAAGCCAAGTAGTTTTATCTTGCTATGTACTTTTCCTTTCTACATGTTCTCTGTAATTATCAGTCTCTGTAGTAGTTGCAGCTTTATGGATTTTAAGATCCAAATTCAACTGTGTCTTCAGTTATCTTCTTGAACTCGTAATTTCCTCTACCATCCATGTGCAGGTAAAACTGTGGAATGAAAAAATTTACATCATCAACTAAAATATAAAAAATATTTTATATTAGCTTTTTTTATCATAATAAATTGTATAAGCAAATAATTTGTTAAAGGACAAAATCTAAAACCCTAAATCAACTGGTCAGAGGATGATCTCCTACTGCAATGCTTAGCCAATTCAATTGCCTTTGAGGAATAACATTGTATGATTTTTTTGGATATGTTCTGTCTCTATCTTCTGCTAGTTGGTCATATTGCTCATCACTGGGATTTGGTTTGTTGTGACAGATGCCTAATTTGCATGCATAATTATAATTCTGTGTACAAATCTGGTATTTTTACACATAGTGAGCCACTTACACCAATACCTGAATTGCAGAAATGTGTGCATAAATTAGGTGTGAAATGGTATACATCGGGGTAGTTAATAGGTGGACCGTGGGCCAAACCTGGACCACCAGACACTTTTGAATGGACCCCAACATCTTTTTATTTACTTATTATCATCGTCATTATTATTGGGTTTTTTTATTATTTTCTCTGGAGTCTGGACCTTGACTATACCTTGACCAAGAAATGTTGACTTAGACAATTGACTGCATTTTTGCATACACAAACTAGGCATGTGCTTTTTGAAAATCAGGCCCTTGTTAAATGAATATTGATTTAAGATTTGGCTGGTGCTGCGGGACAGAAATTAGCAAAGGAGTATCCCCACAGAGCTTCAAATTTTATATATTTTCTAAGATTAAAATTATTTCTTCAATTATTATTTATTACAATCCTTATTTTATCCACTTCAGGACTATGATAACAGATGAAATTATGAGAAAGAATTTAGGAGAGAAAAGGAATACCTTGTATCATAGTTTTACATGTTTACAATGTTTAACATTCCTTTTCCCAAATATCTTCATGAACATTGAATTCCCCAATCCCTACCTGAAAATATCCACAGATTTTACGCTCCACTACCTACACCCCCCTCTAGGGGGTAATCATATCTTATTGTAACTGGAACGGGAAACATTTGCCAAAACTATTTTATAGGATTATAAAAGCCATGTATATTTCAACTATATCAGATTTATTTTTTATACTTATAGACGTGTTCTCTTCATTATACCTCAGCGCTCACACAAAATTTAAATTCCCACCAATAACAAAATTTACTTAGTTATAGAGTAAACAAGGAGTAGCCCCACAATTAAAAATACATCTTGCATTGCACAAAGGCCCTTTATAAACATGTGCATTAGCACTTTCGTAAGAAAAGTTTTACAGGATTGTTTAGCTACAGGCTCTTTTAATCAGTGTCCACAGATGAAGAAACACTAACTTTGAATATTTTATATGGATAACCCTTCAGAACAGACAAATTTAGAACTGTCAGTTTCTTAGATTTTCATAACAGCTTTTTTGTGAATCCTTCAAATACTGCTGTTGGACTATGAAAATATAATCTATGATACTATTTTTTGAAAAGAGTGTGTCTGGTTGGAAGGCAAGACATCTGAATGCAACTAAAAACTCAAAGTTCATTTAATACCCACAAAAAGGCTAAATACATAATCATCAACAAAAATAAAAATGACATACATCGTGGTGTTTCCAGAGGGACTTTCTGTGAGAGACAGTGAAGAGAGTGATGCCAACCTATAGTAAGAAGAGAATACAAACATTAAGTAAAACTTCACCCATAAGACAAATTCAACTAATTTTCTCAATCCCTCACACTTGGTAACATTTTAAAAGATGAAACTAAAAGCTCATACTAATAAATAGAAAAGCTTTAAGGCCTTAAATCATTTATACTATGTGTGTGTAGCCTCAATATTGCACATTTTAGAGGAAAAACAAAAGAGGTTTTAGGTTTGGTTTTTTAAACCTACTGATTTAAATGTTCTGTTTTTCCTGCAGGAGCTGAAAATGTCAGGCTAAAAAGTTCACTGCCTGTGCACAGATGTTAGCAATATCATAGGCTCTTACAGAAAAGACAAATTCCTGAACTTGAGCCCTAGCAGGTAAGTAAAAGAGGAAATTATTTCCAAATATTTTGTTTTTAAATACATTTGATTGCTAACTAAAGTGTATGATGTTAATGATTTAAGAACTTAAAGTGCTTCTTAAATACAACGAAAAATTCACCTTTAAAATCACCTGTAAGCAACAGTTGCAACTGTACTGAATGGTTAAGTTGTAAATGGTTAATGATTAAAACAAACAGAAATGAAAGTGATAATAATCATACTATTTGTTTTTTAACCTTCTGTAAGAGACAACTGACAAGGGGTTTGATTTTCCAGAGGGATGCATTATCAGCCACTTTGCAATGGTAAATCCTCAAAATAGAAAGCAGTACAACCTGGCATCCAAATGGTAAATGTACTTAAACAATGAAATAGAAAGCAACACAGAGTCCTGTGGCACCTTTAAGACTAACAGATATATGAAATAGAAGAATCATAGAATATCAGGGTTGTAAGGGACCTCAGGAGGTCATCTAGTCCAACCCCCCTGCTCAAAGCAGGACCAATCCCCAGACAGATTTTTGCCCCAGATCCCTAAATGGCCCCCTCAAAGATTGAACTCACAACCCTGGGTTTAGCAGGCCAATGCTCAAACCACTGAGCTATCCCTCCCCCCTATAACTGATGCTCTTTCACACAGAGCCCATCCAGCATCAAAATTACTACTATAAAAGTATCTTAGGGCCTGCTCCTGCTCCCAGAGAGATTAGGATAAAGGTTTCAGTACCTGTAGAGTTTCTGTTTCCTTTCCAAGGACATCACTGCTCCATAGTTAAATTTAAAGCAAGTTTCCCATTATAATCTCTATTTTCAAACCCTTCTCCCCTTCCCCAAAAAGAAATCAACCCCCTTGATATTTCTCCTACCACATCTCATATGAGGGTAGAATTTTATTTTTTTTTGAGAATTCTGGGGGAGGATGGGGAATAGAAAAGAAGTTAAAACATCATGCTTTTTTAAATACTCCCTTTTCATTTACTTTTTTGAAAGTTCTCCTAGCGTTGCTGGCTCCTATCTCCAAAACAGGTTCACTTACAAGTCCTTTTGTTTTGTCAGCCTTGCTGAGAAGGGTTATTTTCCATAAGGAAAGAATAAGATTGTTTTGGGTGTTATCTGGATTCCATTTCACATTTTAATCAAGTTTTTGGAAATTTAATATTATCATGTCTAATATTGTTGCTGAAGTCCAGTTTTACCAATCCGTCAAGTTGACATTTTCCAAATTAGAAATTACATTCACAAAGAGCAATTTAAATGTATCTCAGCCTTCTTTCTTTATCTAGAAAAAACAGAAACAAAACTAACTTACTTTCCGGCAATGACTGTAAATGTAGCCTTCTACATCAACGCTAACAGCACTTGTACATTCATCCAGAATTGCAAACTGAGGTTTATGATAAAATAACCTTGCCATCTGGAATGCAAAACAATACACCATTTGTGAATAGAGAGAACAAGGACAATGCAAGTTTCTTCATCTTTATAATAGCATAACCTATTGTCTAAATGAGCATTTAAGAGATGAAACTACTGTAATCTATTGGAAATATAACAAACATTTTAACAAATGGTTTGAAATATTTACACAACTGCTCAAACTTCAGTTTTTGTGCTGCCATTACCTCTCTCCCCCAAAAGGCATAAATGAAAACTATGAAGCTATTTAAGTTTACAACTAAAAATGGAGATAAAACATTTGAAATTTAAAGACATAGTCTGATTTCATCCCATTACTCCTAAGTGTTCAGCAGATACAGTAATATGTACATTACCATGCAATAATCAGAGACTTGAGTAATACTGAAGCACAGTGAGTTACAGCCAGTGTGCAATGAAAATTTCCTTTGCTGTCCTGTCAGTTTGTCTTCTAGCAGACAATTAGACAGGTCACAGTCAATATGAATACTTAATTTAAAAAATGGTAATAGTTTATCATACAATATAATCTTAGGTGTATGTGTAACATATAAGCAGCTTTCCACAATTATGTGGTTACTTATTAACCCAGAAACGTTGTGTATGTACTGCCACACCATCATTCTGTCTTGATTTTTGCTAGAGGAAAAAGGATGAATGCCAAAATATCTACATAAATAATGATCAATGCTGTTAGCAGAAAGTCAAGTTTTCTCAACAATCATAACTAATACTGTAGTCTTAGAAGTTTTAACCAGAAATTATTGACTGAAAATTAAAAGGGGAAAGAATTTTTTTAACCATCATTTACTGAACCTCACTGAAATTTGAATATTGTATAGTATTCTTTGTATACTTTCCAAGGGAAAGAAATCAATATTTTACATCATCTGCTTACATAATAGAAGAGAATATGTTGATCTGATAAGAAAGCATTCAGAAATCTATATTACAATGTGAAAATAATAATGCCTACCTGTAGTAATTTGTTATTTTCATGAGCTCTAAGATTATAAAAACCTTAAATTTTTTCTTTAAAGAATAATGCAGTAGAAAAATTTACTAACTAGATATCATCAACATTTCAGATTAGTTATACTAATTTACAGTATTTTTCAAGTACGTATAAGATAGAGACGCACTGCCATCCTCTGTTTTTCTCCTCCGCTGAGCACATCCATCCAGTCTTGAACACTATCCCAGCCACCTTCACGTTCCAGGATTTGACCCAACTGGACATTATCCAAGTACTCCTTCAGCACCTTTTAGCAAAACAATAATGCTTACAGATAAACCTAAACATACTTCATGTTGCAATAACTTCTCAGATTAGTATAGTATACTATAATACTATAAAGTATTAAAATCACTATCACCCAAGATATTGGTACCAAAATAACATTTCAAAATGTAAACAAATCTAATGTTCTTACTTGCTATACCAATATAGTTAAAAAATGAATGATACTTCAGAACAAGTTTAAATGAACAGTGAAACTGTCATTAACAGACAGATGACATCCTTGACATCTGCTGGCAGGTAATATTACAGACTATGTGATAAATGGCGGAAGTAGCAGCCCATTAGTGTGGCACATTTAAAGCCACCACTGATGACCTTTGGTTTGGTGAACCTTTATTTTACAGCCAATCAGGTTCAAGAATGGAAAGGGTGACTTAAGAGAAAAACCAAAATGCTATGAAGTCTCCCAAAGCAAAGAGTTGTAGAGAAGCCATGGTTCCATCAACATTTCCTGTTCGGATCTATATGGGGAGAAACAGACTTGGGTTTCTCTATCATTTAACAAATTTAAAGTACAAATAATCCCACACTACAAAGAATCAAGAAAAGTAATGGCTGCAAATAATGGTTATTGAGGAGAATGTCTTTTTTACCTGGTCAGCTATCCCCTTCTTCCTCTGGTCTTCTACGGTATCTGGATATATTACTTGGTCTCTGAGGGTTCCTAGCGTCATATATGGTCTCTGGGATTAAATTGCAAATGATTAGTACATCATTACAGACATATGTAACACTCATCAAATAAAGAGGTAACAAAAAATACAAATATCAATTACTATGGTACTTTGCTTTACCTGAGGAACATAGAAAAGCTTTCCTCTCTCAGGCTTGGTTAGACATCCACCAAACAGAGGCCACAACTGCAACAAGAAAACAAAAGTCATCAAGAGAAAATTTCTCTTAAGAAATTAGGGTGAGGGGTTTTGTGTTTTTTAAAATGATAAATTTCATTTTAGTATGTCTTTACCTCGCCAAGAACACGGAAAAGTGAACTCTTCCCACATCCGTTTGGCCCACAAATCAGAACATTTGCACCAGACCGAACCTAAAATATATGTCAACACATTAAACAATAGGAAAATAACTGGAAAATCTGTACTGCTGTAGAGATGCCAGTATCCCCATAATTAGACTGGAAGCCATCCTTTGCACAGTAAGTCCAATTTTGACACACATCCACCAATATTAAATTTAGCCTAAACTAAATCAGTCTGTCTGAAGTTTTCCACATGTGATCTGATGATACAGTAAAATTATTGCATAGTTTTTTTTAAAAAGGCAAACTGAATAAAAATCATTTTGGAAATACTAGTGTTAACAAATCGATTTTAATTATTGGAATGTCTTCTGATTTTTCAAGGTGGGGGCGTTAATCAACTTCGAAGAAGCTTAGTTTAGAAACTTCAAGTTTCTTTTATTTGATTGGCCTCAATGAGCGCTGGTAAGTGACTACTTGATGAGTTTCCTGAATTAATAGCAGAGCTGGTTTGAAAATTGATGAAAACAACACTGATATAAAATGGAAATGAATTTTTTTTTTTATGAATTTGTCTTTTCTGTTCTGACCACCTCTAGTTAATAGTCTAATTACATACCATTTTTGCACTATTTGTTAAACCTGCATAGGTCACCACGTGAATATTATAATCCCTGCACAGCCCTATAAAATCCAGACCATGACTTCCCAAGACCTCAAAACTGGAGTAAGCCTCTTCATATGCCAGGATGGGAGGGGGTGGCGGGATTGCATGCAGTTTGGTCTGGTACTGGAGGAGGTGAGTGAGAAAGCCACATTGGAGGAAGAGTGGTGAGCAGAAAACATTGCTGAAAAGTTTTGTGTTTGATTGGAAGGAGTAAATTGGCAAGACAGTGAAGGAGGAGGGAGAGAAGGAAAGTAGAAGCCATTGTTACTCTTGAATAAATCCACATCAGAGAGCAATTATTTGATTAAAATAGTTAAGAAGCCTAAAGAAATTCTAACACAAAAACTTTTGTTAAATTTGTTAAAATTAGAAACATGGGGGTTTGTCTACATAAGGGGACTACACCGGCAGAGCTATGGTGCCAAAACTATCCCACCATAACTCCATAGTTTAGACACAGCCTACACCGATGGAAGGGGTTTTCCCACCAGTGAAGGAATGCACCTCTATGACAATCATGGTCCAGACACCCCAAAAGGAGAATAGGGGGTCTGAACCCCAAAGAATAAGCAACTGATTGTACACAATAAAATTCTACTATAAAAGTGTATTGAGTAAGATCTTTTATGTAAGCCTGTCACACACTGGTGATTAATATCACTGTAAAATGTATGTATTAACTATATGAGGAATTATGGTTACTCACTGATACTATATTTCAAAATTTGCAACCAAAGGGAGAAACAGGTTTTCTCCCAGACTGGAGACAGGTAGATAGCTACCTTCCCTCCTATGTAAATTAAACATTATGGAACCAAAACAATGGAAGTCCCATTTACATATGAATCGGCAGAAAAATGGGAAGTCTACAGGAAGGGAAGAACAGTAGGAAGTCATCCTGACTCTGGGGACAAAACATTTTGGGAAATATAAGCAGAAACTAAAAGCCATTTTGGCATCCATCACTTAGGCAACTTAGGGAACAGCACCCTGTGAAAGCTGGATCCCATACTCTGGTGGGCTAGTGATGCTGGTAACTTGATGTAAGTAAGAAAGCTGCTTAGGCAAAGATTGTAACTTGTTAAAATTAAGTTTTAAGTCACTAGAAAGCCTGTTTTGTTTTATTTGTAACCATACCTCTCTCTTTTATTCTTACTTAGTATCACTTACATCTCCTTTCTTTGCTAATAAACTAATTCTTGTTTTATTAAAAATCATCTCAGTGCTGTGTATTTAAGTGAAGCATGAGTCTTCAGCTAACCTACCAGACTGATGTGTGCCCTGTCTTTTGCCCTGTCATTGCCTATTAGGGAAGTGACCGTAATAATTTCTGAGAGTGTCCAGCCAGAGGGACTGGACACTGCAGAGAGATGTCTCTGGGGAACACTGATTGTTACGTGTAAGGCAAGGTTTAGATGGAGACAGTTTTGAAGACTTTGCTGGCAAACCAGACAGGCTAGTGAGCCAGGGAAGTGACACACAGCTTAGCACGAGTATGACAGAGTGTTAGGAATCAGCAACTGAGACAGCACCTGGTCACTGTTTAACCAATTAGGCCCCCTCAGGGACGATCAGATTACCAGATCCCATTGCAGCTGGGTAGCTACGAAGCTACTTAGCCCATTAACAAGGAGACTGGATGAAAGAGTACAAGAAGGAAGGGGGGATGGGGGAACTAGTGGGGCCTGACAAAAGCGAGTGTTCTAGGAAGAGACACCTTCCCTCCCCCCAACCCCCTTTTTAGAAGGGACAGTAAAATCGCATAACACTAAATACTGTGATGGCACAAAGTGTGTAGAAAGTGAAGGAGTGAAATGCTGTAAATAAACTGCATGGTGGTATCTACATGAGCGAAGGTCTCTAAGCAGTCTGTGTGAGGCAAAGGAGACAGGAGCAGTGGGGTCCCATCACCAGCAGCGAAGCTCTCATTCTTGCTAAGGCAAAATGGTAACAATGGCTTACAGTCCTGGGTATCCTGAGCACAACATCATAACCTCGCCGACTGAGGGTAGCTGGGTTGACAGAAACATTCTTCTATCGACCTGGCAGCATCTACACCAGAGGTTACGTCATCTAGCTACATCACTCAGAGGTGGGATTTTTCCACACCCCTGAGCAACTTAGTTAGGTTGACCTAAATTTTAAGTGTAAAACAGAGATAACTAACTTTTGAGATAAATCTCTTGAAGGAACTCTGTTTAAAACAAACCATCAGCCACTGAAGTCAACAAATTTAAAGTTACGATTACACTTACAATTTGGGAGCATGGAAATTCAAAATTAAGGTCTCCCTTTAACTGTACCTCTACCTCCATTTCTCTACCTGTATACACCACAGAAAACACAGAATCTACCTTATTCCTAAGCATTGTACGTAGATGACAAAATTCCTCACCCTCCATTTACAAAATAGAAAAACTGGCTTGCTACAAGTTATACCACTGCCAAAGAAATAAGCAAAGCCTCTTCTACAGTAATAGGTAACTACCATTAAACTTGAGATATAGAAATTTCAGCACCTCAGTGGCTTTTCAGATACTCAATAATATCAGAATTCAAACAGTTTTTTTTTCTCATGAAATACACGTTATGTTTTTAAACCATCATGACATGAGCTTAAAGAACCTGCAGGCACTTGTTCTATCCATCTTTACGTCTGCCCATATGCAAACACACAAAAAATAGTAATTGGGAATTTATAATCTTAAAGAAACAGATTCTTATGCTCTCCTTTAGCCTGTAATCCTTCCTTGGCCAGTCTATCACACCCTCCACACTTCCTCCTCATAACATACTTCTTCCAAGAGCCCTAACAACCTTAATGCTCCCCTCAAAGAAATGTCTATTCAATAAGTAACACCTGACCTATCCCATCTCCTTGCAAAGAACCAGACATGTGCCAAACAACTGCATTTATCATCTTGCTTTTGTTAAATCCCTTCCCTACTTTTGTCTGCAGGTTGTCTGCTTGGAAGACTAGCCCTTAAGGGCTGGGACCATATTGCCTTGACTGCCTTTAGCACACGTAACAAAGGTAGGCACTATATAATAATGTCAAGATTCAGGGCAAATCACTAAAGTTTAAAATTTAAATGGTCAAGCCTGTTACGACACTTGTGAGATTAAGCATAAATACATAATCATCTTGTTAATCAAGGATTATCTACCAGTTTAACAAGAATCCTTAATTTAAACATCAAATGTACCCCAAGTGCAATTATGCCAAGATTTAACAATTTTAAGAACTTAAAACACTAGATCCCACAGGGAATACCCTGTTAACGATACCCTGTAAAAATACATATGTGAAATTCAATTTCCTAGCTTTATGATTTTTTTTAAACAAAATTTTAAGGCATATCCACTGAAGTTACAGATTCTTATTTTTAACTGTAATTCAAACTTTTTTTTTTTTGTCTTGAACTTACCTACCGTGTTGATGGGCAATTTAAAAGAAACTTATAAAATTAAAAAGTTTTATTTTTATTCAAACTTCTTACTTAAATATTTTTCAAAATTACAAGATGCCATAACATTCTAGAAAGCAAAAGAATATAATCAAGTCTTCAGGAATAGAATATAAAACTAGTATAATTGTTATAATGGGATTTTACTATTCCTGCTTTATGTCATAACTGGAACAAAAGCATCAGATGAAACTGAATACTGACTATTCTACTTAACTAACTTTGCACACCTATGGCATTGCAATTTTGTTTTCTAGAATCAGGGCCGGCTCCAGGCACCAGCTTGGCAAGCAGGTGCTTGGGGCGGCCACTCCGGAGAGGGGCGGCAGGTCCAGCTATTCGGCGGCAATTCGGAGGATGGTCCCTCACTCCCGCTCAGAGCGAAGGACCTTCCGCCGAATTGTCGCCGCAGATCGCGATCACGGCTTTTTTTTTTTTTTTTTT